ATTAAAAATTAGTAGAATAGTAGATTATTTTTAGTTTATTTTTGATTCCTTCTAATAGAAAAATAAAGGTAGGGTGTTTTTTTTTGGTTTTGTTCAATATCGACTTCCTCCTAAATAAGAAAGGGGGTGGGGTAAGTATAAGACCTAAAAATATGCTCTGTAAAGCTATGGGCTAGTGTAAAATACACAGTCATTCTAATGCAAAAACTATACATGTAGACATAAACTTTTGATTTAGCACACAGTATCCATTACATTTCTTTTAACGTAGAACATACTTCGTATGACATCATAACTGGTAAATGTGTTAAACCTGTGCTCACCGATTAAGACGTCATAATTAATTCAATGCCACTTTTTCCCGTACTTGACAGCTTCAATAAAAATGGTAGAAAATACTGCATTTTGAAATTCAATACCATGCCAACATAATCTTAATTCAATTCATATATTTTTTTGGTTTATAATGCTTAATGGCAATATATTTCTGGAATAAGAGACAATATGTAGGCACCTTTTATTTACTAGATCTAGACCTTAAGTTGACAAATCCAAGACTATCTAGTGTAATGAAATTACAATGTACAAACAACTTTCGTAATAATTTAAATGGTATGTAACCATTTTGAAGGAATGCATAAATCGTAAGAAATCTTTAGTTGCCAGCTATATAGTGTTATATCTTGATGAAATGTGTCTAAGTCAAAGATGTACGTGTTGTAGATCGTTTGATCGTGTGTACATTTTTGTGATATCTATAATGAAATGATGTGCATTCCTTTTAACAATTATTTGTTATCTATTCATATTCTTAGTGTTTGATTACATTTTTTCTATTAAATATGATCTTTTTAAAGTAAAAGTACAATTTCTGATAAATATTTAATCTGAAAGTAACCCCAAAAAGTCATTTAATTATTGAACCCCGTGTAAGTGCAAAGAGGTCAAGAATATGAGTATCGGTATATAGCCTATCTTTCATTAGTTAGAGGGGAAAGGTATAGATTTTAATCATTTTTTGTAATCATTTGTCAATGTACTTCATTATATTGAAGATTTAAAACATTGTGACAAAGACTTCTAAAAAATATACTGAAAGGAAAAAGAAACGCAGGGTAAACGTTTGCGGTGAATTAAATTTGTTTTTCTTAAATTATGTTTTAGTTTTCCTATCTAACTTTTAAAATCATTTTTTCAAAAAGATATAACCAAATTCCCATTTGATTTTGTCTGATAATTCTTGAGTTATTGAAGCTCAAATGGCGATACCCCCCAAAAGTGAAAATCGAAAACTCTCATTATCTTCAATGTCTCTCCCGTGCATCTGTCACAGCCTTATGTCTCCTTTGCATTAAATTTCCTCAGAGTGTATATCTTTCAAACCCTAGCTATGTTTGGCATGGGAAACCACGCAAAAAATATGTCATTCGGCGCGCGCATGCGCCAGTGAGAGGAATACAACAGTAAGTTGACTGGCTCAAAAAACCAAATTGCGGAATTGTTTTCTTTCAAATTTCGTATGAATGTAATGATTATAATCGTCTTCTGTATAAATTGCTGTTTTTGTGGTAGTAAGTTTGCGATTTAAGAGATGGCAGGACGAATAACCCGCTCGTAACATGGCTCTGTTTCGGGTTAACGTCATCGTCACGGTTGGTTAAAATCCATTCCAGACGCTCTCTGACAACGGGTAACAAGTTTTATGGGGGAAAATTTACAAGAAACTGCTTAGTAAACCGTTGTTGTCTTTTTCATTAATGAGGCAATTCGAAAACAAGACCCCATTGAACTTCCGTAAACTGTGCCAAGATCGCGAAAAATTCATAATGTCTCTTAATATTGAAAAACGATGTGCATACCTTATATGCATTAAATAATGCAACAAGATTTGATGACAAACTCGTCGTTATCAAATTGCACGTGTTTTGGGCTTTTTAGCATTTTCCCTACGTGACGTCATAAATTTCACGGTTGAGTAATTCTGAATACTGATTTTGGTGCACAGTGACTAAATTTATCTTCTGACCAATTTTCGTAGTTTTCGGTCATGTTGTCAAAATTCTTTCGAACATTATGCTACCCTGCGTTTCTTTTTCCTTTCAGTATATTTACAAATATAGGGTGAATAATTGACTAAAAATAATAGAGTTCATTTGACTTTTTTTTTTAAATGGTGCACCTATCTTTTATGTTAATTGAATAAAAAAAATTATTCTTGATAAAATATCGTTTAATATTATTCAGTTAGAAAAGTTCAAAACTGACGATGTTTGAAGAAGTATTTTTGTGATTATTTATATTCCCTTTATGAAAAGTACCCCTAAAAATATTTGAAAATGTGAAATCGCAGTATGTAAATACCATACCAAGTTTCACAGCCTGTTCTAGATTAAAAAAAAAACAAGGAAACATGTCATGATATCTTAACTGATTGATAAGCAAGTACTAATTTATCATTTTGAAAAGTTTGAAATTCTTGTGACATAATCTTTTCCGACATAGGTTCTACCTTAATTCTTGTTTTACTCCACCCTTTTACTCAGTTCTGAGTATATTTTCAGAGAATTTAATATGAAAATCAGAACCAACATTTTCATTGTTGTAACGTCTTCTCTATAATGTATATTAATATGAAAAGTTAATTGAAGACCATTTCTTTTTATGTCCCCGTAATTGAAGATTCGGGGGTATATAGTTGTATCGTGTTCGTCTGTATGTCCGTCTGTCTATCTGGCGGTTTGTTTGTCCGCAAAAACCTTAACCTTTACCATAACGTTTTATTTATTGGAGCTATGACTTTCATATTTAATATGTATATTCCTTGTGACAAGACCTTACTTTGGGTACCACCAAATTTGACCTTTTGACCTTTACCTTGGAGTTTGTCCAATTTTACACAAAAATGCAAAAAAAAAATGTCTTTGGCCACAACTTTTAAACGGTAGATACTAGTACTCTCATACTTCAAATATGAAGTTTTTTGGCATTACCTTTCATTGGATACTAAAAACCTTGACCTTTTTACCTTGACCTTGGAGTTTTCCTTACTTATGATTTTTTTTACCTTGACCATAACTTTTGAACGGTAAGGACTAGGGTACACATACTTCACATATGTAATCCTTGTTACATTAAACATTTTCTTAAGAAATCATCAACTTTGACTTTTGAGTTTGACCTACCTTTCAAAAACGTATCCTCAGCCATTACTTTCGAACAAGTGGTGCTAGGGCTTTCCTATTTTGCAGTTGTATTTCTTGTGAGAAGACCCTACTTTGGGTAACAATATATTTAAATTGTATTTAAGAAAAGTTTAATCTTCGCTATGTTGCCATAGAGGGGCATAGCTGTTTCAAAAACAAATCTTTTTATATATGAGGATTTGCAGATAAGAGAGTGATACTTCAAAGCGTAACAGACGGAAGGACGGACATCCCGATCACTATATACCGGCCCGCTTTTCAAGCGGAGGATATAATAATATATAATACTGCTGATTTTTTCTGTCAGTTCGATGATTTCCACCATCAAAAAACAATGTTTACCTAACCCTTAGGGCTTGATATATCTTTTACTCCTTTAGATTCTGAATCATTGCATTTACCTTAAAATAGAGCTATAATTGTATAACGGTATGAGATCAACATATCATCAGTTTATTCCCAATCAGCTCAGGTGAGCATTTTGGCCAATATGCCTCTTTATCCAATTTTTTTTGCCCCCTAAAAATTTTAGCTTTAATCTACAGGGGGTCATTTTTCTACGGGGGTCATTTTTTTCACGTGGGTTCTGCAAATTTTTAGGGAAGTGACACTTTTTCTACGAGCAAAAGGGTCATTTTTCTACGTCGAATAATGACCGGGGGTCTTTTTTCGCTGTCGAAAAATGACCCCCGGTCATTATTTGATGGGGGTCATTATTTGTCTTTACACCGGCAATCGCGCTCCAAAACAATGGTCCTTGATCAAAAATGAAACTATTACAACATTTGAGGGGTGGAAGCAAAACCTACAGTATACACTCTCTCTCGATCCCAAATTTGCAATTTTCTTTGTGGACGGGGCAACATGGGCTAAGAAAACCCCAGCAAATCCTAGACGTGGCCTTGCCAACGACGGACAAAACGTTCCCGAAGAAGCAGGGCGGACAGCTGCACAAAGGTAGCCCACTTGGAACTCATGCTTGGACAAATTGCTAATTATTGCCCAATTATCTCAAGGAACACAATTGTCAAAAATTCTACATCTGTAAAGTCGATATGGCAAGCTATTCGAACACATTTTGGATTCCAATCTACAGGCGCACATTTTTTAGACTTTGACAACATTCGCCTGGAACCAGGGGAACGACCTGAGGACCTGTTCCAGAAGTTAACCAGTTTCATTGAAGACAATCTACTTCAACGTCAAGTCCTTCCTACTATACCGGCATTAAGCACAGTACCCAGTTCCGTGCCAGCCACTGAGACTTCACTACACGACACAGTTTTACACTCAGGTACTGTCAAAGTCAATCCTGACAATATCCTCACCCTTGAGGCTCTACAATTATTTTGCAAAGCCCTCCAGGAACATGATTCTCTGTTCGATCCCAAATTCAGTGGATACAATGGGAAATGCAAAGCAGCAAAGTTTGACGTGAAAATTAACATGGGTCCAACGCAACCCCCACAGAGGAAGGGCCGCCTCCCCCAGTATTCTAAGGAGAAGTTACAAATTCTGCAAGACAAGTGTAATGAACTAGAAGCCCTTGGAGTCTTGAGAAAACCAGAGGAGTTAAACATTACTGTAGAATACATTAACCCCTCTTTCTTTGTTTCTAAACCTAATGGAGGACACAGGCTAGTGACCGCCTTCGAGGATGTTGGACGCTACTCGAAACCTCAACCATCCTTAATGCCAGATATTGACTCCACTTTGTGCACCATAAGTTAGTGGAAATATCTAATAGTAACAGACCTAACTAGCGCCTTTTATCAGATCCCAGTAGCTAAAGAGTCGATGCGCTACTGTGGCATTGTCACCCCATATGAAGGCGTGCGTATTTATACCAGATGTGCTATGGGGATGCCAGGATCAGAGACTGCTCTAGAAGAGCTAATGTGCAGAATCCTAGGTGATCATCTACAAGCAAGATATGTGTCAAAATTAGCTGACGACCTGTATTGTGGCGGAAACACCCCTGAAGAACTTCTACAACACTGGGTCAACATAATGACAGCTCTTGATGCCTGCGGTCTGAAGTTATCAGCAACCAAGACAATAATCTGCCAACGTTCCACTACAATATTAGGATGGATCTGGACACAAGGCCGCCTCTCAGCAAGCCCTCATAAGGTCTTTGTTTTGGCTACATGCAAACTGCCAGATTCTGTCCATAGTCTCCGCTCATTTATTGGGGCCTACAAGATGTTATCCCGTGTCTTACCTGGTTGTGCACATGCCATCTCCCCACTGGAGAATGCTATCAGTGGTCTTCATTCAAAAGACAAAGTAAAGTGGTCTGAGGAGTCGATAGAACACTTCCGCACAGCCCAGACAAAACTTAAAGATTCCAAAGAAATCTACCTTCCAACCAGAGATGACCATTTATGGATCATTACAGATGGCTCTGTAAGCAAGCACGGAATTGGAGCAACACTATACTTGATGCGCAAAAATAAAATTCACCTAGCTGAATTCTTCAGTGCAAAGTTACGGAAGCACCACGTGACATGGCTTCCTTGCGAAATCGAAGCTCTGTGCATATCTGCGGCCATAAAACATTTCAGCCCTTACATCATCCAGTCAGCCCACAAAACATGCGTCCTTACAGACAGCAAACCATGTGTACAGGCTATACAAAAGCTTTGCCGCGGCAAGTTCTCTTCAAGCCCTCGAGTGACATCCTCCCTCTCTACAGTTAGCCGTTACCAGGTCGACCTTCAACACCTCGCAGGTTCCGCAAATATTCCATCTGACTTCGCCAGCAGAAATGCAGCAGAATGGGAAAATCCATCATGCCAAATATGCAATTTCATTATACAAATGGAGGACTCGGTTGTGCGTGTAGCTAAAGCCAAAGACCAAGGTACCGATAAAATGGAAACCTTGCCCTTACCTTTTACAACAAGGTCAGCATGGATCAATATTCAAGCAGTGTGCCTGGACCTAAGACGAACCAGACCCTCCAAAAAACTCACAAATATCCGAGACGTCAAGCGATATTTGAACATAGCTACCATTGCAAGAGATGGATTACTTGTGGCACGCAGGTCTGATCCTCCACAGCCACCAACTGAGCTCATCATAGTCCCACGCAGTGTCCTTGATGGCCTTGTAACTGCCCTTCACATTCGTTTGGATCATCCTACAAAACACCAAATGTTGTTGGTCATAAAGTGCAACTTCTATGCATTGGACTTGTCTCAATCAGTAGACCGTGTATGTGACTCTTGCCATACCTGCGCTTCACTCAAAAAATTGTGAAAATTAGCGACATCAATCAACCAAACTTGTAAGAGATTTATTAGGACCCGACACTCCAAACCACACTTTAAGTAGATATGTTTTTTGCATAGAGCTGATTAATATCTGATTTGAATTATGCAAGTAGTTGTAGAGTGTTTCGGCTATTAAGAAGCCTCATCAGGGGTCACGGACATAAATCATGGTGTTTGTTTTAGGTGAGACCGGATTATCTCGTCACCTATATTATTGTGTTTGCTGTAAGCAATGATTGGTTGAGAATTAAATAAAGTTTTGCATTCTGGATTTCTAAGAATGGTGTTCCAATATTTTAGAATTCGTTTTTTCAGTCCTTTGACGCAAGGGTTAAATTTAGTAACCAGTACTGTAGGGTTACGTAATGACTGTTCTTTAGTCTTTTTGGTAATGAGGTTTGATCGGTTTGTGTTGACCGTTTCCTTGATAATAGGATCAATTTCCGAAGTAGAGTAGCCTCGCTTTGATAAGTGCGTCTTGAAGTCATTAAGTGTTGCATGTAATATTTCAGGGTCAGTGGTGTTTCTTGCATGTCTAATGCATTCTCCTTTAATGAATCCTTTAAACACAGCTGGGCTATGAGCGCTCTGTCTGTGTAGATACTGAAAGTTATTTGTTGGTTTGATAAAGGACTTGATATCAAGTTTGTTAAAATTTTGAAATTCCTGTCCTTTATAAACTGTAGTATCAAGGAAGTTGACAGCAGATGGAGAAATTTCAAATGTAAATCTTAGATGCTTGTGACAGTGATTGCCGATATTAAAGAATTCTTCTATCTCTGGTTGCGTTCCATTGAATATTATGAAACCGTCATCACGGTATCTGCCGTGGAAGACAATTTTGCTGGCATGACGAAATTGTGCCGTTATATGCTTTGTGATTTGATACATTCTGATGTCGCAGATCTCTGGACTGGGGACTGCCCCCATACTTGCTCCTATTATTTGTTTGTAATATTTTCCATCGAATTCAAAGTAATTGTTTTCCAAGACGCATTTCAGTAAGAAGTTTAGATCCTCAGGGTCCGGATATGGAATGTCTAATTGCGTTTTGTTGGCCTGTGCGTAAGCCTCATTTACTGACGAGAGAAGTTCGTTGAATTCCATGTTTGTGTACATGCTCGTCACATCATAAGTAATTAATAATGCGTTTGTTGGCAATGTGAGGCCTTCGATTTTGGTGATAAAGTCCGTAGTGTCTTTGATATAAGTTGATTGTTTTTGTACAATGGGTACAAGAAAGTAATCGCAATATTGTCCTATTTTCCTCGTTGGCGTATTGCATTGCGAGATAATTGGTCTACCAGGTGGTAATTTCCTAATGCTGCACTGACCGTTTATTAAAGCATTGTAAATGTTTGCTGGTATTTTGTGGGTTTTCGGTAAAAGGTACAAATGCCCACATTTGAGTGAAGGTTTTTTGTCATTAAGAAATTTGTAAGTTTCTTTGTCCAATGACCCATTTGAATGCATTGCGGCAAGTTTATTTTGAATGTTTTCATGCAGTTTGAGCATGTTGGGTTCAGATACTTGCATATAGTGTTTAGATTGCAGTTGGCTTTGTGCTTCTAAGATATACTGGTCTTTGTTCATGATGACAATTGTGTTGCTTTTATCTGCTTTTTTAATAACAATGTTGTTGTTATTTTTAAGAGATAAAATAGCTTCTCTTTCAGCATTTGAGATGTTTGATCTCTTTTTTGCAATTTCCAAAGAGGAAAGTTCCAATTTTGTTTTATCTATATATTCCTCGAGTTCGCTGCATGTAAATGGCGGTTTGTAGCCAGATTTTGTGTTAAAGGGGTGAATGGCATTGTCGTCTCCGGTATCAAAGTGGAATTTGCATCTGAGTTTCCTTGCAAATTCTTCAAAATCTTTGAGCAGCAGGCTTTAAGCATTGTCTCTTTTAGGCGTTGGAATAAATTTTAAGCCTTTGCTTAGAACTGAGAGTTCATGTTGGGATAAGTTGTATCTTGATAGATTTAGAACAAACTTTCCCCCTGTGGCCGTAGTTTCCTTGCAGTGAGCTTTAACTCCCCGTAAATAATTACGAGTGCGTTTAGCATTTTTGCATTGTTTACTCCGTCTATTTATTCGTCGAGCCATTCAAATAGAGGAGCAGTAGGTGGTAAATATATTGTATATAGCGAGGCGCTATAGATCAACAATGAGTATTTCGATGAGATAATGAATCTGTCTAATTATCAATAAATGTTGATAGATTAGAGGATAAGAAGAGTATGTGGCTATAAGACACCGATAGTCAGATTCCGATGATTCGTTATGGTCACGTGCAAGGGGCGGTGTTTGTTTAAGAGCTGGTTCAATGGGTTGCTAATGCACACCAATTTTATAGTAATTAAATCCTGTGGATCTTAAGCCGTCTGATATACATAGTGTCATAAAATGAGGCTAAAATAAAGATCCGTCTTAGTATCATATGATGATAATAAGAGGATTAATATTTCACATGACTGTCCAAATCCTGAATGAATTCTTCCTGGTTTAAGCTGATCTGGTCCTTCAATATATCCTAGTATTCACAATCTGATATTCTCGTGGTTTTCTTGCATTGGTACAAGGTAATTGAATGAAGGGCACTATTGTATGTGTATACTTGAGCAAGCCGAAGTATTTGATTATAAGAGAAGCGTAAAAGACGATCTTTGAAGTAGCAGTTCAATCCTTTACAAACATGTGCTGATTTGGTAAAGGAAGTGCTGGTAATAAAATGTCTTAGAAGACAATAGAAGCAAAGAATGTGGCCGGATTGTTGGATGACCAAATAAACCACACAAGTCGATCGCTGTCCAAGGGAGGGCGATGCACGGGATCATGCCGGTGGGACATTGTCCCTAGTCAAAGTGTGAAAATTAGCGACATCAATCAACCAAACTTGTAAGAGATTTATTAGGACCCGACACTCCAAACCACACTTTAAGTAGATATGTTTTTTGCATAGAGCTGATTAATATCTGATTTGAATTATGCAAGTAGTTGTAGAGTGTTTCGGCTATTAAGAAGCCTCATCAGGGGTCACGGACATAAATCATGGTGTTTGTTTTAGGTGAGACCGGATTATCTCGTCACCTATATTATTGTGTTTGCTGTAAGCAATGATTGGTTGAGAATTAAATAAAGTTTTGCATTCTGGATTTCTAAGAATGGTGTTCCAATATTTTAGAATTCGTTTTTTCAGTCCTTTAACGCAAGGGTTAAATTTAGTAACCAGTACTGTAGGGTTGGGTCCTAATAAATCTCTTACAAGTTTGGTTGATTGATGTCGCTAATTTTCACCCAAATAGCTAAATTGAACAGTCATCAGAACCTCCCCCTGATGTCATTGGGATTAAATTTGCTGCCTGCTGACGTCATAAAGCAAAACCACCAACTAATCCTGGTCTTTAGAGAAACAGTAACCGCCTATACAGCCGCACGTCTAGTTGCCGATGAAAAGGCCCATACCTTGAAGGAGGCACTGCTCCTTCTATGCATGGATCTCCACCCACTCGATGGGCCAAGAACCATTATCCGTGTCGACCCTGCTCAGGGTTTTGTGGCCTTGCGTGAGGATGACCTCTTAGACCACTATCGCATCAACCTTGAGATCGGCCGAGTTAAAAACCCTAATAAGAACCCAGTAGCAGAAAAAGCTGTTGCAGAACTTGAGCACGAAATACTTCAGCAAGAGCCTGGAGGAGGCCCAGTTTCACAGCTCAGCCTTTCCGCTGCCGTAGCAAGACTCAATTCCCGTATCCGTAGTGAGGGCCTGTCAGCACGAGAAATGTATACCCAGCGCAATCAGTTCACACATGAACAACTTCCCATGGTCGACCGGGAGATTATCGCCCAGAAACAAGCTCAACGGGACTCGAACCACATCAGCAGTGCATGGTCCAAATCAAACTCAAAAGGGCCACGCCCTCTTTTCATCTCATCTGTCGGTGATCTAGTGTATTTGTATTTGGACAGAGACAAGACCAAAGCCCGTCCCAGATATATTGTAGTCTCGGTGATGAGTGGTGCTTTGTGAAAAAATTTTCCGGTCAACAATTACGATCTAATTCCTACAAGATAAAAGCAAGTGAGTGTTACCGTGTTCCGACAGAAGTAAACTCTAAGCCCCAACGACAACACATCCCTGACGACGAAGACCTGGAAGATATCCCTGAACTTGACACCACTGAGAAACTTCTCCCACCAAAACCTACAGGAACCGTCCCTTAACATAAAGTGTCCACCTATGATCCACCTCCGATCCCAGAAGTGCTATATACACCCCCACAGACAACTGTAGATCCACGCGAGGAAGTGAGGGATTCAGATACAGAAGATGACGTCCAAGGTTCCTCAAATCGCCCTCAGAGAGCAAGAAACCCTCCGTCTTCCTTAAAGGACTATGTTGTATCCCTGTAAACAGTTTTCTAAATTAGTAAGAACAATTTTTTTTAAGCATTTCTTAAAGTTTGACTTTTATTTGTACAATTTTTTCTCAACTAGTCTACATCTGCCACAGAGAGTGTGCATATAATTGATTTGCGTAACTTAAACAAAAAAGAGACAAAAATGAGAGAAGAGGTTGCGCCAGTGTTTTATGTACGACTTACTAAATAACTACTACTAAAGAACTCTTTTGTTTTAGGAGATCATTTTTGCATATTATTGTTTTATGTTTTTGGAGCCACTTGTTGTATAAATTCTCATCCTGTTTAACAGTTTTCCTTTATTATTGGCGGTGTATGTACATGTATGCAAAGGTCACATACTGTCTCGTTTGAAGTAATGACATGAAAGAAACTAGAATTATTCCATTTATATCACAGGAGAGTTGAACATACACCTTTTTTGATAAATAAAATTAAAGAAATAAAATTAAAATCTAATATTCAACATAACGTATAAGGCCAAGGTTTCATGTTATATGGAATGCGTAACGCATGTATATACATATATGGGCTAAACACTAAAATCCTTCTATAATTTTTTCCTGATACATATAAAACCAGAAGTCAATATTCATATAGATATTCTGCATTCATGAATTTAAAAACTAATGCATACCTCCAGATTCAAATGAAAAAATACTAGTGTATTTGTACTGTAAACGACATTTCGTGAAATGCTAATGGTCTGCGAGGTAAAAAAAAAGGAAGGGGTGGGGGTGGTAGGGGTATTCTAAAATTGCCTAAAAATCTACATTTTAATATGCTTTACATATGAGAACTTTTAAATATGTAAGTTAATATTTTTTTAAAGCAAAAGCAATATTCCAATATGATTTTTTAAAAAACGTGTATTTGTAGATTCATAGAAATGTGATCGACCCACGTCTGAAAGGCGCGCGGGAACGTGATTTATTGAAAAGGGGGGGGGGGTAATTTTCCCCTATTTCATCAAAACTGGTCGTACAAAAATCAAACAAAAATTATGAAGGTTATATTTACTACCAGCTACCTAAAGAAAGTTTTTTTTTCCAAAATTTAACGACAGGTTTTTTCACAAAAAAAATTTGAATTTGAAAAATACACAATTTTCAAGGCTTAGATAATTCACAGTTTTTCACTTTAAGATCTTTAAAAATTATTTTGATGATATGTATTTAAAAAAGATGGCTATGTTTTTTGTGTTAAATGGTTAAAGGAATAAGTCAATGAAATTCCTTAGTTACATCTAACCTGGCTTTTTTGAAAATAAAGGTTTAAGTAGTTCATTGATTTAAATTTTTCTCTCCTTGTAAACGACTAAAGGGGGGTTACTTTTGGAATTTCCTGTCAAAAAAATTACTCGAACGATTTTGTCCAAAATGTGCATACATGCAGTAGATATAGTCATGTACTAAATATACAAAAAATAACGAAAATTAAACGACAGGATTTTTTTGGTTTGGTGTGTTGTACATCCTTAAGAGAAGCCTAATCTAAGATGTATTGTACTGCAAGACATAAATATAAAATACATGGTTTCAGTCTTGAAATATAATCGATATTTTGGCGAGGGTAAGAAAACGTGATAGAGGGCGAGGCTTGCCGAGCCATCTTACGTTTTCGACCCGAGCCCAAATATCGATTACCTGGGTATATTTCAAGACAGTTATCATGTATTTTGTTTATCCTGCAACAGAATTTTACAATTGAGCGTCAGAACAAGCTAATGCCGACAGATTTAGGCACATCTCTGCAGTTGAAACCATGACGCCATGGCGTAAACATTGCAATATACATGACGTCACAATGCTTTTAGAACGTCGGAATACATGCAGGAGGCTTTATTAGGGCAGTGACCGGATAAAGCTTTCGTTTATTAGGTTACCTTTATTTGGTCAATACAAGGGGTAGTTGCAGGATAAACATAAAATATACTTAATAATTTCTTTTGTAAATATCGTAATCTTCATTACAGTGAAACCTGTCTTATTGGACATGCACAGGAAGAACAACTACAAAGTATGTGTTGACATGAACATGGTGTTTTATTAGTGTACAGCTCATGGACATAAGTAAAAATGAGTAAGGATATTAAATGGCGGAAATCACAGTAAAGAGTGTTGTATGTGTCGGTTCAAACAGGTTCCACTGTAATAGGTTTAACAATAAAGTAATCTTCATCCTAATTCTCCGTCCAGACTTCTTCATTTATGAATGTTTGTAAATAAGAACGAAATTTTTCTAATTTCAAATTTATTACAACACATATAATGTACATCTTTAAGTAAATACATTCAGTAGAAAAAAAATACCATTATTTATATCTTTACCTAAAATATATTTGTTTACATGTCTGTTAATTGATGTTAAATATTAAAAAAAAAGAACTAAGCGATAAAAAATAATTCAAAATCGTCTCTTGAGGGTTTCCATAATCCATGGATGATCTTTCTTCTGTTAAAAAAAAATAATTAATACTTCACAGATACATGTATGATAATTTTTTGTTCAATTAAGAAAAACTTTTATAATTGAAATTTTCACAGTAATACTAAAACGTGAAAAAGGTTATTAAGATTAAATGATGTTTACCTAGTGACGTCTGATCATCATTGAAGTCGCCTTCACTGATGTCCCATTCGTTACTGTTGGATACCATGGGTAGGACCAGGACCCCGGGGACCATGGACCGTTAAGGAAGGCTCGGTAACACCAGTTAAACCAAAAGCCTCCTCTGTAGCCAGACCAAGTAGCACAGTTACCACCAGTCCACCTGTCATTGTCTCTGTCTGGGGTGGTGAAGTACCTCCCAGACAGATCGTAGATAGAGTTATCTGTATGTAACATACTGTCACCTGTAGAAATACAGATGTTTTAAAATTATAAGAACTTGTATCCAATCTCTTTGTATAAATTATACAATAAAATATGTTCATAACAGAAGTACAGAGAATATATCACAGGGATAATGGAATCATATAAGATATTATCTCCAATCTAATCTTCAATGATAATACTGGGGTACATTTAATTAACACAGGCGGCTTTGTGTGCAGAAAAGAGCGATACTATTTATTAAAAAATACAATACCAAAAATGTATTCTATTATTCATTTAGTATCCTATTAATGCAACGATAACATTTGATTTGTTACACTTCTCAGCTATGTTAAGGGCCTATATGGAAAATGTGACCTTTGCACCGTTTTAATGTGTATTACTTCTTTTAAAAAATTGTAACAAATCAACTGAATACTTGTAGAAAATGTAATATAGGTATCAATAATGGATAGGACTGGACCGTAGTTATTACCAGTTATATCGCATGTATCAGCTGTTTGTCACGTGACTTGTATCAAAATAGAATAGTTAAGCTGAATGTAGAAAATGGGGATAGTGCAAGGGCATACACTTGTTTTTCAAGAAAAAAATTAATACATATTAAAAGAAGTTTATATCCTCTACCTAAAAAGTGCTGGGAGCTAGTCAATGCTGTTTGCGAAGTACTTAAAATTTTGCCGAAAATGCTTATAATAGCTAAAAACGTCTACTTCTCTTAAATTCTGTTATAAATAAAATTACTATTATGCAGACCAGGATCAGCTCCCAGCACTTTTCAAAATATACACTATATAAGCAATTAATATTCCAAATTTCAGCTCAAACAAAATAGTCTATGCCCTTGCACTTTTGATGTAAATCTTGCTAATCGTTTTAGCTATATTCTCTACATTCCTTATCCCAGTGTAGCTTCAATGCTACTAGATAAATTCATATTCTATACATATTGTATTTAATAAATTATTTTCTTTTAGTTTTAATGATTAAATTAAAAAATTAGCAATAATATCTAATTTATTTAAGCATTCTTGTAATTATTAAACCAGTGAATCTAGTCCTCTTGATCACCCGTGCTGCGTCATGTCAAGGCTGATGACGTCATATTTGACAAAATGCTTTCTTCTAGTACTCGACTGTATTGCTATTTAGTATTGCAATTTTACAAGATTTTATAAATAAACGATTAAATAAATACATTCTAGTTGTTAATTACGCATGATCATTTTGTTAATTAAATTTTGGGGCTTGTTAAATTTCAATGACGTCACAATTCAACTTTCAATACGATGTACAAGGAATGTGAACTCTGACCTTCCTTAACATAGCTGAGTTTAAAGATTGATTTAAAAAATGACTCTGTCAAAAAGAATCTTGTAGATATTGTGCCTTAATATGAAATATTAATAAAATGCAATATTCAGCAAAATAACAAAGTAAGAATTGGTGTTCGAAAAATGTTTGAAAATATTTGATTTTCATTTCACTTCAAATAATTTACTGAACCGTGATGCAACAGACACTCAATGTTTACATAAGAAACATGACGTTAACCTTTCATCGCAAGCACTTGATTGCGCGATAATTATTTCTATGACGAATCATTTAAAAGATTATAACTTTTCTTATTTTCTGAAATTTCAGCATATATATTAAATGGAAAGGAATCGTTATTAAAACGAAGATTGAATGTTTTTGATTGATTTTTGTTTTACGTCCAGTCGGCAATATTTCAGTCATAATTTCGGCGAATAAATATTCTTACAATGTTAAAGATAGCTACTGGATATGCTAGTTACAAATACTTCCAATTGTACAGCATAATCTCGTTTGTTTTTAGAATATATAACTTAAAATTTCAACAACTTAACAATGTCAAATTAAATTAAATGTCATCGGAAATTGTGAATGTACCTACAAATGACATCATGAAATATTGAAAATCAATTATTAACACGGAATCAGAAAATTTCTACAGAGTATTGCAACAAAATTATGTAGCATTGACTTTTTATGCAACAATTTAATCATCTTTCCTTGAAAAGAAGTATATGATGATATTCATGATTTCTATGCAGTTTTAAGAAATTAACTTGAATACAGTTACCTAAAGTCCCCGTGGCAGGTCCTGCAAGAAAGAGTTGATATTTTCCTGTTTCTTTGGAGACAGAGAATCGGTCGTACACTTCATAAAACGTTGTACCATTCTGGAGAGTGATAGACACATGGAGGGATGAAGTGTTTTCTTTTGTTAACTGATGGATGATGTCATTTCCTGTATCAAGATATTGAATCAAATAATTATTCTAATGCTACAATCACATTAACAGAAGAATTATGTGAGTAAAGTTTCCAAAAAAAAGTTTTTAAGTAAATTATTGAAACTGAAAAGAAATATATCAAATAAAACATACATTTTAAATATTTAAAACAAAATAGAGTCAGTTAAAACACTTTCTTTATTTCTTTATCACTACCTTTTTTATTCTTAGTGTTACTGATCTTTAAATCATTTCTTATTGACATAAACTAATTCAGCTTTATGAAAGTTCTTGCTTTTTTTAAGGAAATATATGAATTAAGTCACAGTTTATATATCCCTTTTAAATATATAAAATACACATCTTAGTTATCTTAATATCTTAGTTGTTTCAACAAGTGTTGAACTACAAAATTTTATTTAGGAATTCAACAACTCCCAGTCAACTCAACTGATATTATAATTGAGCTGTTCTTGCCTATCTACCTTAGACATGAGGAGGAATGTAACCTTTAATTCATTTTATATATATTTGTCTAGAATTCATACAATTCCTGACGCACCTTCCCTGGATGTTTTTTGTGGACTGTTTACCATAACTAGACAATAATCTTATAATATGTTTACAATTTTTCCACACCGCAATTGTAAAATTGGTTTAATCTTTTTGTAATGTTCATTAATGGAAAGTTAATATTAAATATTAAATAATATTAAAATAGTGTGTGTCCAAATTCGAAACGAGATCAAAAGAACACTATTTACCTATCCAGATTTCTGTTTCTGGTGAACCAAACCCATTTTTATATTCTGTCCAGTTCCTGTCAAAGGTCACGGATCCATCCATCCGTTTTTGAATTGCCTTGAAAAATTAACATAACAGTTAAATTGTTTTTAAAACTGAGATAAATCTGCATAAAAACTTGAAAAGTGAAGACATTTCATTTATCTTACCTCTCCCCTTAGTAAGAAATTCAAGTTCAAATTAATTTACAAAATATCCGTCCCCTGATAACTATAGATTCAATTAAATTTGCATATTTTTTATTTAGTCCTCCCGAATAGCAAATCGAATCACAATCAAATTACAGTTGTTTTCTATATACATACTCTCTCTCTCTCTCTCTCTCTCTCTCTCTCTCTCTCTCTCTCTCTCTCTCTCTCTCTCTCTCTCTCTCTCTCTCTCTCTGTACAACAAATCAAATCAGAATTGAATTAAAGGTTGATACTGAATTCCCAGATTAATAGATCGAATCTCAAACAAATCACAGGTTGATATTAAATACTCATCTCCTAGAGAACATCAAATCTCAATCATTGTATACACCATTTATAACGCTATATTAATAAACAACACACCGTCCATCCCCCGCCCATTGTAGTCATGTCACAGAACACCTTGACTGGGATAGAGGTGATTCCAAAAGGAAAGATGTCGTACACGCTGTCGTTATTGTGTCCTTTATCAAGAATATCCTGACAGTCTGTAGCAGGAACTAAAAAAAAACAATCAAACAAACAAAACAAAAAAAAAACAAACAAACAAATAATCGATGATTTTTTTTGTATTTATATTTTGTATATTCTGTACATCGCATTACAGGATAGAGCAAATGGAAATGCAGAAAAATATCGAAATCTCAAGAATGAAAAAAAAAATGTTATTCTAAGTTTAAATTAAAATTACTTTATTTGAATTGGTTGTGGACAATTATGAACAAAAAAAAGCTTGAATGAAATTTCTACTCTTGATTGTGCAACTTTTTTTTTTAAATTTCTAATTTGTTAATTTGCTATCTTGTTGTATTGATTATTCTTATCTATTTTAATTCAGATATTTCTGCAACAAACAGAATTGATTTTTATTGGAAATATATAAATGATTTCAGCATATTTATTATTTATTAAAAAATCTTCATCACATGAGCATGCTTTTTAGAAATAGAAACTAAGCGATTGCTAAGTCTTAAACACGTTTCTGTAAAAAATCTGTATTATATTTGAAAAGATTTTCTGAACAGTACTTAAACTAGATATACTGTGAGCACTGTAGTCACTAATGGGTTTTATTTATGAATGATATCGCCACCTCCCACAAGATTATAATGGTAAAGTCCATGTTTGCTATGGGAGATTCGCAAAAAATGTCAGATCAGAAAGTAAAATAAGAGGTCACAATGCCATTATGTAATAAAGAATCTGTAAAAGTAGCATAACATTTTTTTCAATAGTATTAGTGGAGTTACAGATAAGAGATGGGTACTCTTCAATATTTTAGAAAGAATGGCAGTGTCATTGTTTTGCAATAGGGAAGCCAAAATATGTGTCCGATCAAAAAGTAAATTAGAAGGCCACAAAAGCACTATGTAACGAAGATTTTTTGAAAGTTAAATTTGGTGTGTTCCTCGAATGGCTACTCGAAAAAAAAAACAATTCAGGGGACAAACCTTTAATTTAATTGCATTCAGCGATATGAAAAGAGTTGTGGATAAGAGATTGATGCCCCAAAGCAAATGAAACGAAGGACAAATGGACTTTAACTTTACCATAACTACAGTCTTAAAACCAATCATATGATTACCAGTGTTTGTCTGTCGTCACTACAGCCTTACAACCAATCAAATGGTTACCAGTGTTTGTCTGTCGTCACTACAGCCTTACAACCAATCAAATGGTTACCAGTGTTTGTCTGTCGTCACTACAGCCTTACAACCAATTAAATGGTTACCAGTGTTTGTCTGTCGTCACTACAGCCTTACAACCAATGCATTCTTACTTATTGTAATTTTTTTATTATTCTTAAAGTAATATATACTAACCTTTTGTGTTTTTTCAAAGTTAATAATCTCATTAAATTATATGATAAGGAAAAATTAAAAAACACAACCTGAAATATAGTCTAGATTGAGGAAACGCACTCAAAATCACCATTTATATTTTGTCTAGTTAAAATCATTCAACGGAAATATTTAAGAACAAAGATATGGGTATTAATTCGCAGAAAATTGCATGTGATTTGGGATAAATCTCGGCATTTGCTCTTAATTGTGCTTTAATTAAACATATTTATATAGATTATATTCAAAATATTATTATCCAATGCTCATGTCAACAAAACGCAAATCTATATATAGAACAAATTATATGCACCCCCCAAAAAATAAATATCATTCTCAATTAGATTAATAAAAAGGCAGATTTGATTTAATAAGGGTAATGCTTTTATCTGAGACTGAACAATGATACAGGATACTGTTTTCTTTTATACTTATGAGGAAATGGATTTAAGCAGAAACCACATCAGTCTATACAACTATAGCCGAGGTTCTCTCTCTAATACTTTCCAGGGTTTATTTAGGTCATTATTCATCATAGAATTTTTAACGGCTTCTCCGTTATTTCGTCAAGAAGCACACTGCGAATGTAACCAATTGTCAGGTATGCTCCTCCATGGTACCTGATACCACTTCTATTGATTTGGAGATACTTCTTTTGATCTATTTTTGTTTTGTATTGTTAGAAAGGAATTTCGATTATGAATACTGTTCCTTATCTTCATATACTTCATTTCCCCAAACAATATATATATAAAAGGTTATACATACAATCATTAAAGAACGATCTCCAGCCTTTCTCTTCTGATGTTGTCAACATGTTGAAATTCCTGTGGAGCCGGCATTTCTTCAATACCTCATTATACCCAAAGACCCCACAATCTCCCCTACATTTCTCAGCACAGTCTTTAAACGATTTAGCATATTCTCCTATAAGTTCGTGTTCTGACTTTTTATCGTCAAACTCCACGTTTCTGGCGTACCTCCGAGAAAACATGGAATCGAGAGGCACCGTATAGTAGGCAGCAATATAAATTACAGCCAAGAGATTGCTCATGTTGTTTTCCGTGTATTACACCTGTTGTACCGTTTCTGTGAGGAAATTGCGAACAAATCTACCATCTAGCAGGTATAAATATAAAAGCCTCAGTGCATTGCGTACCACTGATTGGCTGATTGTTACGTATTTTACTTTCTCTGGAAAATCGATTTTAGATCAAGAATGACTGGATCTTTAATTGGTCTAGAGATGATAAAAATGGATTTTATATTTTAAAGATATCCTTTGAATATCATCACGATGCCCGTCTTTCTGTACGTCCGTCTGTTAAGATTTGGGGAACCAATCTCTAATTCACAACAACTTTTATAACACTAAATGAAATGTCATGAAATTTCACAGAAGCTTGAAACATAGTACCGTTGTACACATCAAGTTTGTAGATCGAACAAGGATTGATTCAGAAGGTTGAAATTTTTTTTTATCCTGCCTCTGATAAAAATCGTGAAATTTCATTGGCCGAGAGCAATACTGCATGAAACGATGTTATGCTGTCTACCCACCTCACATTGCTAATGTGCCCCCTCCACGTGACCTACCCACCACACATCATCAATAAACTGCTTTCACGTGACCCGCACGGAGCTTCATATCTGACGTCACAATGCGTATGACGACAACGTACAAAGGATGTAGAACGTCTTGCTTTGACATTCAGTGAAAGCGGTTTATTGATACTATCAAAATATAATCTTTTAGAAAACCATCGGCAGGATAAATTCGTTATGTAGACACTTAGAGGGGTAATACGGAAATATGTGGGGTCCTTGAAAAAATGCGTATTGGGCTCGGCTTACGCCTCGCCCAATATGGATTTTTTCAAGGACCCCACATATTTCCGTATTACCCCTCTAAGTGTCTACATAACTAATAATATATAACGTTTATCAAGTTTTGCATCTATTTTTAGTTTATGTTACGTACCCTTAAATTGTAAAAGTGAAGAAAACTCATTAAGTGGTATACAAAATAAAAATTATGACCTCACATAAAAATGATATTCTTGTTTCATCAACTTGCTTGTCAATAATTTACCTCGTTTAAGACATGGTTCATAGGTAGAGCATGAGCTTGCGTATCGAATCAAATGAGATATATATAATCCGTATGCAGGTGATAAAGGTATATTGCTGCATGAGTAAGGGAAGTTGACGATAGAAAAGTTAAAGTCATCACGTTTATCATGAAGCTTGGTTTTTATAGTACCATTAATGCCTTTTTCAAGTAAAATATCCAAGTATGAAGCAGAAGTGTCGGACTCTGTGGTATCTTTTATCTCAAGCTCACCAGGATATATCGTGTCGACGTAGGAATGGAAATTATCATTATTAACTGACAATACGTCGTCGATATATCTAAATGTTGAGTTGAAGGCCACAGCAAGTGTTTTTTTTTCTTTTCTTGTATAAAATAACGCATAAATTCTGCTTCATATGAATATAAAAATAAGTCTGTTAATAACGGAGCGCAATTTGTTTCCATGGAAATTCCAATAGATTGTTGGAATACCTGGTCTCCAAAAACCACATAGATATTGTCAATCAGAAATTCAAGCATCTTCTTGATCTCAATTTCAAAGTACTTATGTGTGCAATCAGAATCTGTTTTAACAAAATAATTTTTCAAATGACCAATGACGAGGTAAGTAGATTTACGAGTTCCATTTTTTAAAGAATCAGCTGTCAATGATATCAAAAAGCCTGGATTTTAATTTGTCGTGGGGAATTGTTGTGTATAAAGTTGAAAAGTCTTATGTTTTTAAGCTGTTGAGATTTGTAAAGTCTTGTGATTTCAAATTGTCCAAAAGTTCTTTAGAATTTTGAAGTATCCACATCTGATTCACACCACTTCTTGAATATATAGTTGTACAGTACTCTTGAAGTTTTTCCTTCACTACTGTCAATATTTTAGTGAGAAGTAACGAAAGAGGCTTGGTTGAACACTTACTGGAACCTGCAATGTATCTTTGTGTGTAAGGATTCTTAGGTCAAATACAAATACGAGAGAGATAGAGAGAAGAGAGAAAAAGAGGGAGAGAAAGTAATTAATAGAAATGAATATGCTAGGTTTATTCACTGTTTAGTCGTTTGTATCTAATGGGTCTTATTTTTTTGTTCTCTTTATTTTATCTCTGTGTAGATCATACACATATATTTTAATGTGCCTTTGAAAAACAATTGCATTGTATTGCACAAGCTGTTAATCTCCTTTATTTAATAGGCAGTTATTTGCTAACTTAGCTAATACTATTTAATATCATGTCATGTATTTGTTCTATATGGTCTTATTTAAATATAACGCTGTAGTACTGATGAGGTAAATATTCTTGAGGAGGTTTGATACCTTTGCTTACTTAGATGTATAAATTACTTTTAGTGTGATGTTAATAAATATTTATTGAAATTCGCATGATGTAAACAAGTCATTTTCAATCTCAACACTTGGTTTAACACAAATTTTATAGACATTGATATTTGTTTGATCCCTGACTTTCAATTTCGCTAAATGGCCTATACTTATCTTATATTAATGCCGGTTAATAACTCATCACTACATGTGTTAGCCTTTAGGGAAATGGATCTGTTCACTAGAAGACATTATTTTTTCACCGTTAAATAATTCAGAAGTGAAAAAGAATAAGAAAGATTATGCAACCTCCATGTGCTTATTGCAATTGACAAAGCAATCGATATCATTATCTGTCTTTGTAATAATTTGAATTGTATTTGAGTGGACACAATGCTCTAGTCAGCAAATATAATTTATAATTACCTGGAAAGAAAAATCCTGACTGTTGTCCGCATAAGTAATTGTCAGGACATCATGATCATTTTTTCTTTGCTTTTTATCATAAGAAGGAGCAAACGGAGTGAGTGACTGTTCTGAAGGGAATGCTCACTTATTCCGCAGCACAATTTAGTTAGAAATGAAAATATCAGGGATTTTTTTTAAGATAAATAAATACATACTTTATTAGGATAGAGTATTCTTTTTAGGACTTCACTGATATCTAAAATATTATTTTATTTTGTAATATAAAAAATAACAATTATAATTGATTGATTTGAAAAATAATTTTCCCTCTTTCTTTAAAATATATTCGTTCACAAGTTTTCTTATTTGATGTCAAACATTAATTAAACAGATAAAGATTAATTCAGAATCTTTTTCTTTATTATAAATGATTTTTTTTTCTGATAAGATAATGCTTCACAGAAATAAGAGCATTTTTTTCTTTAAAAAAATCTCTTTTATCCATAGAAATTTTAAATGAAATAGAAAAAGAAAGAAAATGTTTAATGAGGTTAACCTAGTGCTGTCTGGTCATCATTATCGTACTCACAACCTCATTGTCAAAAGTTTAAGACAAATAAGTAGACTGAAAAAAGATTTAAAAATTCATCAACACTCAATCAACAAATTTCACGCGTTACATTAATCAATACGTATCAACTAGTCCTAAAACTTAGTCAATAATTCACAACTAATTTTAAACTATTTTCAAAATAGTTTTTACGCTAATTTGAAACGGGATCAACGACCATTTTCTAACAATGCAAACTTCCGCTTCCGGATATCCGAACCATTTCCATATTCAATTCAGTTCTGTCAAAGGTCACGGATCCATCTATCCGTTTGTGAATTACCTTGAAAAAATACATAACTTGTTTTGAGGATTTGAGTGTATCTGCATTAGAACTTTTAATTGAAAAAAAATAGTTTCTATTTTCTTACCTAGTCATATTATTTAATTTCTCTAAAATACTTGATTCTGATTAGTTAAAAAATTATTTTGATAACTGCATCAATAAAATCTAGAGTTCGCTTGCACTAAGCAGCCTGAACTAACTTTTTTGTCTCTGCATGTATATATTTCCCCACGCTTCCAGCTTAATTCTTTAAGACATTTAGATGTATCGACAATCGACGTATTGTCAATTAATAATGATGATTTCCATTCCTACATGCATGTTGATATGATATATCCTGGTGAGCTTGAGATAAAGGATACCACAGAGTCCGACACCTCTACCTCATTTTTGGATATTTCACTTGAAAAAGACACTAAAGGTTTTCTAACATCCAAGCTATATGATAAACGTGATGACTTTACTTTTTCTATCGTCAACTTCCCTTACTTATGCAGCAATATACCTTCATCACCTGCATACGGAGTATTTATATCTCAGTTGATTCGATACGCAAGAGCATGCTCTACCTATGAACAATTTCTTAAACGAGGTAAATTATTGACAAGCAAGTTGATGAAACAAGAATATCAACAGTCTCGTTTAAAGTCATCATTTCGTAAATTCTATGGTCCATACAATGACCTTGTCAGCAAATACAATTTATCATTGAAAGAAATGCTGACTGACGTTTTTCATACCAATTGTTAGTCCATTATAATTATTTATACACTGAATTGACACGGATTTGTTCCGTTATTTCCTGATAATGACAACGAGCACACGGCGGGTGGGACTGGTCGACAGGGGATGCTCACTCTTCCATGGCACCTGATCCCAACTCTGATGTTTCGGAGGTCCGTGTTTGCTCTGCTCTTATTTTGTATATTTGTTTAATGGACGTTGAGATTGAATACTGTTCGTTATTTCCATATCCTTCTTATGCAGCAATATACCTTCATCACCTGTATACAGAGTATATATATCTCAGTTGATTCGATATGCAAGATCATGCTCTACGTATGAACAATTTCTTAAACGAGGTAAATTATTGACAAACAATTTGATGAAACAAGAATATCAGCTGTCTCCTTTAAATTCGTATTTTTTTAAGTTCTATTGTGGATACAATGACTTTATCAGCAAATACAATTTATCATTGAGCCAAATGCTGACAGACGTTTTTCATACCAATTTTTATTCCATTATTGATACACTGAATTGACGACGGATTTTTTCCGTTATTTCCTGATCATGACAAGGAGCACACGGTGGGTGAGACCGGTCGGTAGGGAATGCTCACTTCTC